TCCCTTTCTTCCGTCCGGCAGGAAGTTCGTGTTCTTCAACGTCCCTCAGATCCAGTACCGGAACCCCTGGGTGCAGATCATGCTGTTCAAGAACATGACGCCCTCGCCCTTCCTGCGCTTCTACCTGGGTGCGTGAGTGCGGGCTGGGGGTCGTCCTGTCCTGTCTCCCCCCCCCAACACCTGGGGGACGGGGTCAGAGGTCACTGCCCGCCACCCGTGCCCCAGAAAGTCGGGGTCACGCCAGCTCTGCACGGGAGCTCTGCGGCATTTCTGTCCGTCGCCCCCTGTGTTGTCCTCCCGATCGAGGTGACAGGCGTGGCCGCCGAGTCCCGGCCTCCTCTTCCTCCTCCCGGCCTCCCCTCCGGTCCCCGGCCTCAACAGCACGGGGCTGCGAGAATCGCCCCAAATTCCGGACTCCCTGTCCACGCCCAGCTTGGCTCACGCTGGTTCTAATTTCATAAAAAAAAAAAAAAAAAGTTCCACAGGGCCGGGCGTGGAGGCTCAGGCCTGTCGTCCCGTCGGCACTCTGGGAGGCCAAGGAGGGAGGATCGCTCGAGGCCAGGAGTTGGAGGCCAGCCTCGTGAGCAAGAGCGAGACCCCGTCTCTGCTATAAATAAAAGAGAAGTTAATTGGCCAACTAAAAATATATATAGAAAAAACGAGCCGGGCGTGGAGGCGCATGCCTGTAGCCCCAGCTACTCGGGAGGGAGGCTGAGGCAGGAGGCTCGCTCGAGGCCAGGAGTTGGAGGCCAGCCTCGTGAGCAAGAGCGAGACCCCGTCTCTAGTGAAAAAAAAAAAGAAAGAAATGAGCTGGATGACTAAAAATGTGTAGAAAAAATGAGGCAGGGCGTGGAGGCTCACCCATGTAATCCCAGCGCTCTGGGAGGCCGAGGCGGGAGGTTCGCTCGAGGTCAGGAGTTGGAGGCCAGCCTGAGCACAAGAGCGAGACCCCGTCTCTAGTGAAAAAAATAGAAATTAATAGAACAACTAAAAATATATAGAAAAAATGGGAGCCGGGCGTGGTGGCGCATGCCTGTAGTCCCAGCTACTCTGGAGGGAGGCCGAGGCGGGAGGCTCGCTCGAGGTCAGGAGTTGGAGACCAGCACTGAGCAAGAGCCAGACCCCGTCTCTACTAAAAAAATAGAGATAAATGAGCTGGACAACTAAAAAAAATATATATATATATAGAAAAAATTAGCCAAGCGCGGAGGCTCATGCCTGTCATCCCGGCACTCTGGGAGGCCGAGGCGTGAGGCTCGCTTGAGGCCAGGAGGTCAAGACCAGGCTAAGCAAGAGGGAGACCCTGTCTCTACTAAAAAAAAAATAGAAAGAAATTAATCATCCAACTAAACATATATAGAAAGAAAACGGGCCGTGAATCATGGCGCGTGCTTGTAGTCCCAGCTACTCGGGAGGAGGCTGAGGCAGGAGGATCGCTCGAGGTCAGGAGTTGGAGGCCAGCCTGAGCACAAGAGCGAGACCCCGTCTCTACTAAAAAAAATATAGAAAGAATTGAGCTGGACAAGTAAAAATATAACGAAAAATGAGTCCGGCGGTGGTGACGCACGGCTGTAGCCCAGCTACTCGGGAGAGGCTGAGGCAGGAGCTCGCTGGAGCCGGAGGTCAAGACGAGGCTAAGCAAGAGCGAGACCTCTCTAAAAATAGAAAGAAATTAAGAACAACTAAAAAATAGAAAAGAAAGCGAGCCGGGCGTGGTGGCGCACGCCTGTGGTCCCAGCTACTCCGGAGGAGCCGAGCGGGAGCTCGCTGGAGCCAGAGAGTCGGAGGCTGCTGTGAGCGAGGCTGACGCACGGCACTCACTCCAGCCGGCGACAGAGCCAGACCAAAAAAAAAAAATATATATATAGGAAAAACACGGTCAGAGGCGGGGTCCCGGGCTGCGTGGACGGGCACGTGCATGTCAGCGTTAACGTGCTCCGGCCTCCACGAGCAACCCCCGCCCTCACCGCCGCGTTTCGGGTTCGCAGACACGGGCGAGCAGGTGCTGGTGGACGTGGAGGCCAAGAGCAGCGGCGAGATCGTGGAGCACGTCAGGAAGATCCTGGGCAAGAGCCAGTGAGTCGCGGGGCCGGGTGAGGACGGGGCCTCGGCCTCCGCCCCGAGACTTGGAGGCAGAAGAAAAAGGAGTCCCGGGGGTTGGGGGGTGAGAGGGGGGGCGTGTCGAGAGCTCCAGCCAGCCTGCAAGAACCCGACTAAGCCTCAGGCCGGGCGCGGAGGCTCTCGCCTTGTCGTCCCGGCGCTCTGGAGGCGAGGAGGGAGGATCGCTGGAGGCCCGGGAGGTCGAGGCTGACCTGAGCAAGAGCGAGACCCATCTCTACTAAAAATAGAAAAAAATAGTGAAACACTAAAAATATTAAGTAAAAAAAATGACCGGCATGGTGGCGCATGCTGTCGTCCAGCAACTCGGGAGGAGCCAAGGCAGGAGGATCGTTCGAGGCCAGGAGTTAGAGGCCAGCCTGAGCAACACTACTAAAAAAAAAAAAGAAATTAATTGGTCAACTAATAATATATATAGAAAACGAGCCAGGCGTGGTGCGCATGCCTGTAGTCCAGCTACTCGGGAGGGAGGCCGAGGCAGGAGGATCACTGAGGTCGGAGGTCGAGGCCAGCCTGAGCAAGAGCGAGACCCCGTCTCTACTAAAAAGAGAAAGAGCTGGACAACTAAAAAAACATAGAAAAAAAGAGCGGGCGTGGAGGCGCACGCCTGTCGTCCAGCTACCGGAGGGAGGCCGAGGCGGGAGGCTCGCTCGAGCCAGGAGTTGGAGGCTGCTGTGAGCGAGGCTGACGCACGGCACTCACTCCAGCCCGGCGACAGAGCGAGACTCTGCCTCAAAAAAAAAAAAAATGAAGCCTTCCAAGGCTCACCTCTCAGCTGCAGGGCGGGGAGGAGGCTCAGCCTCCCTCCCGGGGTCGAGGGCAGCGGAGAAGCATCTAGAACATTCCTGCGCCTTCCTTGGGGATCCCGGTTTGCGGCCGGCGGATGTCTGGCCCTGCGGCCTCAGGATCTGTCTTTTTTTTTTTTTTATTCCACGAGTGACAGGAGCCATGAAGCGCCCGGGCCGGAGTGAGCGCCGTGGCGTCAGCCTCGCTCACAGCAGCCTCCGACTCCTGGCCTCCAGCGAGCCTCCCGCCTCGGCCTCCCTCCTGAGTAGCTGGGACGACAGGCATGCGCCACCACGCCCGGCTCAGTTTTTTTTTTTTCCTATATATTTTTAGTTGTCCAGCTCATTTCTTTCTATTTTTTTTTTAGTAGAGACGGGGTCTCGCTCTTGCTCAGGCTGGCTCAAACCCCTGCCTCCAGCGAGCCTCCTGCCTCGGCCTCCCTCCTGAGTAGCTGGGACTACAGGCATGCCCCTCCACGCCCGGCTCAGTTTTTCTAGATATATTTTATTTGTCCAATTAATTTTATTTTAGTAGAGAGACGGCGTCTCGCTCTTGCTCAGGCTGGCCTCAACCTCCTGACCTCGAGCGATCCTCCCCCTTGGCCTCCCTCCCAGTAGCTGGGACTACAGGCGTGCGCCACCACGCCCGGCTCGTTTTTTTTCTCTATATATTTATTTGGCCAATTAATTTCTTCTATTTTTAGTAGAGACGGGGTCTCGCTCTTGCTCTCAGGCTGGCCTCCACCTCCCGGCCTCCAAAGCGATCCTCCCTCCTCGGCCTCCCTCCCGAGTAGCCGGGCCGACAGTCTTGTTTCTGCGCACCCTTTTCCCCGGCTCCCCTGTCCTGCGACTGTCAGGCCCCCGGCCGGCCTCGGGGTCGAGGGTCGCGCGTGTGACGCCCCCTCCCCCGTCCCTGTCCCCTGCAGGGCCACCCTGCGCCAGGAGGAGCAGGACCGGCAGCGGCTGTCGCACCCGGCCAACTTCGGGCCCCGCAAGTACTGCCTGCGCGAGTGCATGTGCCAGGTGGAGGGCCAGGTGCCCTGCCCCGGCCTCGTCCCGCTGCCCAAGGAGATGAGGGGCAAGTTCCGAGCCTCCCTGGAGGCCCAGGAGTGAGGCCCGCCCCCCCACGCCCTCCCGAGGGGAGATCGGAGGCCGGCGGCCGAGTCCGGCCAACGTGGAGGCCGAGACCGGGTTCCTTCATCCGCGGGGACTCTGCGAGTGGCTCCAGGACGGGAGGTCCCTTCTCAAGACCCGCGCGGGGAGGACGGGAGTAGAGGCCCGGCCTCCCCTCTGGGAGTGTCTCCGCTCTGTCAATCAGTAAAACGCTGTGTCGCTGTCGTCTGTTGTTTCTGGTTTGTTTTTTTTTGCAGTGTTTTTATTTTCTGTGTTGCTTTCGTTCTTTGCGATCCAGGGACGGGGATACAAGAAAATATTTCTGGGGGCCGGGCGTGGGGTGTTCTCAGCACTCTGGGAGGCCGAGGAGGGAGGACCGCTCGAGGTCAGGAGGTCGAGGCCGGCCCTGAGCGAAGAGCGAGAAATTGTCTCTACTAAAAAAAAAAAAACAAAAAAAAAATAGAGAAAAAAAATGAGCCGGGTGCGGTAGCTCACGCCTGTCATCCTAGCACAATGGGAGGCCAAGACAGGAGGATCGCTCGAGGTCAGGAGGTGGAGGCCAGCCTTAGCAAGAGCGAGACCCCGTCTCTATGAAAAAAGTGGAAAGAAATGAGCCGGACAACTAAGAATATATAGAAAAAACGAGCCATGCGTGGTGGCGCATGCCTGTAGTCCCAGCTACTACTCGGGAGGGAGGCCGAGGCAGGAGGCTTGCTAGAGGCTGGGAGGTGGAGGCCACTGTGAGCGAGGCTGACGCCACGGCACTCACTCCAGCCCGGGCGACAGAGCGAGACTCTGCCTCAAGAAAAAAAAAAGTGTCCTCCCCCATGGGAAAAAATAAAACTAAAAAAAGAAAGTTTTAAAAAGTACTAAAAAAAAAATAAAATAAAAAAAAAGACTCCTGCTCCACGATCCTCCCCCTTCGCCTCCCTCCGAGTAGCTGGGACGACAGGCACGCGCCACCACGCCCGCTCATTTTTTCTACATATTCTTTTAGTGTCTAAGTCATTCTATTTTTTTTTTTTTAGTAGAGACAGGGTCTCGCTCTTGCTCAGGCTGGCTCCAACCTCCCGACTCAACCGATCCTCCTGCCTCGGACCCCAGGAGTGGCTGGATCAACAGGCGTGAGGCCTAACCCTAAGGTGACCCTAGGGGGCGCTACTTCTGGCTAGGGCGACGACATCCTCAGTGTCCCAGGAGGGAAGATCTGCCAGGAAGAGGCCCGACCACGATGACCTCCGTCTTCCCAGCCTCACAAGCCGCCATGTCAGGACACCCCCCACGCGGTCCGAGTGTCCCGCCCACCAATCCCTGCGGGAGGCAGAGACGAGGCCCCCAGGTCCAGTAGAGGCTTGTCCCCCCAGTGAGGCCGACATCTGCAGCCTCCACCGGGCTCATCCTCCAAATCCATCTCGGGCCTCCCTTCTAGAAGGCAAAGCCAGCCCGTTTTCCGCCTCAAAGGCGGGAACTTCGAAAACAAAGGCCGGGCGCGGAGGC